ATGGATTTACAAGTAATTGGAATGAACAGAAATCTCATTTTGTCGACAATCCAGTCAGCCGTCCCACATGTGGCAGATTAGTCTATTCTCGTTCTGATTTATTCAACATTCGTAATCTAATGCAACGTACAATTTTTCCTGAATTGTTAACATCACTCAAGATCAATCACCTTTCGAGGTATAGAGGAACACGTGCTGAAAACCTGTCAAGAATCCGTGAAAGCCGGGAACATTACATGCATGTCAACAAAAGTACAAACAGCCGCACAGTGGGCCAGAATGCAGTAACTTTGTGCCAAAATTAAATACTCATTAAAAAACGCTTGATGAAGTTAAAGTTAGAAGTACATAATGGGTTTGCAGACCCGTAAATTTCAATGGAAGCATTTTCAAATCTGTATGACATCATCAAAATACTGTTTTCTGATTAGACGATGCAAATTATCATTGTAATACCAAGACATATTCATATTACATTGCTTATTAAAACGATAAGGGGGTTTCCAGACCTAAGAAATTGAGTAGAAGCATTCTTAATTTTTTGGTCAAATTCACTGATCATAATTCTAAAATGTACATTTTTTTAAACATTTTATTTTCTAGTTTGGCTACTAATGGGTAAGAACTGGACGCAGTAACAAGTTGACTGCTTTCTTCTTCATATATATCAAACACGTTTTTCAAAGTTGCCACTTTTTGTCATTTTAAGAGCAGATTTCGCACTTTTGATGTTCACATAGGTATGTGACACTATTAAAACCTACAAACATTCAAAATACGGATGGAAAAATGTTCTTTAGGAAGTCTTCTTCTCCAAACAGGTTAACAAAGTTGAAAATGTCACATTCACTAATTGTGAATTTTGGCACACTTTGAGGCGATTCTGGCCCATTGTGGGCCGGTTGATTCCTGTTCACGCCACCAGCCAATACCGAGCACAAGGGGTAAGGAATAACTTTGAACCACCGATGAGAAACTTATTCCGTGTAAATCATGTGGTCCCGACCAATTTCCTGCTATCATTAGCCAAAGAGTTTGCCTACGAGCTAAGTAAACCTCTTACATATATCTTGAAATGCTCGTACAGAGAAGGAAAGGTTCCAGATCAACGGAAAAAGGCAATTGTTGTGCCTATTCCTAAGCAAAATCCTGCTTGTATCAATTAACTCAGACCTATTTCGCTTACCTCTGTTTTCGCTAAAATTGCTGAAGGATTTATCACAGACTGTGTTCTTAACGACATTAACAATGCAATTGATATACGGCAGTTTGGCAATGTTAAAGTTGTTTCTACTGCCCACTCTTTGGTTGTTCTCCTTCATTGTCTTTTTCAAGGCGCTGAGAGACGCTACAATGTGGGAACAATGGTTCTCACGGATTTTTCTAAGAACGCCAATCGATCGCCAAATGAATACGGGCGTGCTTATATAGCCACACAAGATTAGGAGGGTATTACAAGAATTTGTATTATAAGAGTGCCACGTCTGGTATTACATAAAAGTGCCACGTCTGGTATTACATAAGAGCGCCACAACAAATCGTATAATTTTATTTAACTATTGTTGTCAATGTTTTAACGAAATGTTAAAACAAAATGAATATTGTCAATTCACATGCAATTTGGACTTGGGGCCAAGATTTGTGGATGAATAAAACCTATCTGTCATGCCGTCGGGCTGTCTGTCTGTCTGTCTGTCTGTCTGTCTACCATATGCTCATTTCACCGAACAGACATAGATCTAGTTTGTTTATTTTCCTAGTTTACTCGGTTTGCGTTTTTGAATGTGTTCTGTTGAGAAGGCGGGCTTGGAAATCCTGAAGGGTATGAGGTGGACTGCACACGTGTTATTTGAGAAACAACTTATGGATACCTGGGAAACCATTCCACAGTACAGGTTTTAGCCTGTGTGATTACCTTGTCCTCAAAAAGTCTCCCAAAAGCGATTTCTGAGAGCAATGTGGACTGGGGCATTATCTTTCACCTGAAAATGCTGTGATCATTTCCTTGATGATTAAATTTAAACTCCAGCTGCATCAAACGATCATCGATAACAAACGAGCTTAGTGTCAGAGGGAGGGTTACTGGCACTAGTTTTTGATAAATCATATCAATAGTCATTTGTTTTGTACAACGTGTCGAAAAAAAACATGCTTCACTTCTCATTGTTTATTATGAATCTGATGCTAGGTCATATAGAAAACCAAAAACAAACCCTGAAACGAAAAATAAGTAGTATCTATTTACTACATAAATATACACAAAGCTTGATAATCATATCTGGGTACTAGACATCAACACAGTGTAAGTTGTCTTCAGAATAATAATAAATATATATGGGTCAGTCATGCCAAGTTAATGTTCATTGTTGTCTCATACATGGAGTCGAGACTGCACGTTTTGTCTGCATATCACTGTGAAAAACACATAGAACTACACATGGCAACACATGTACATGTACGCTGAAAACTTCTTTTTGTATATTTGTATAACTATAAGGTTTTTGCAAAGTTACACTAATACAATGATCAAAGGAAGCTGTAAGATTGTCTGATATGGATCTATATCATCCCAGCTTATACTCACTTCCTGGAACTTAATCACCAACAATTCCACTATTCCGTCCCATTTTAAGATGCATGGTTGTCACTCCCTAGTCCCTGACATTGGCGTATTCTCATGCGTGTACAAACACTACCTTGTGGGGTACCGGAACAATGGAAGGTACCCCGCAAGGAATGCCCACCAATTTGCGGGGTACCATTTTGGTACCCCACAAGTTTTTCACGAAATAAATATATGGATTTTACTAAAAAAACTAGGAATTTCCAAGGTGGGTTGATCTGTCGCGAATGGAAGAGTTTTAGAAAAGGGATATTTAGTCCAAATTTCAGCCCAGGAAATTAACTATGGTTAAAATAAGGGCATTTTTACATAAGGCCAAAAAAAAAAAGTCTCCGGTTTCTGGTATGGAGCTTGCCCCAAAAGTGGTGCGGCGACGCGGCTTTTTTTTTTTTTTTACCTGTTTTTTTTTTTTTTTTTGGCTTCAAATGTCGGCTGATGACTGCAAATGGTGCCCGACTAAACTTAGTGCAAAATATGGGAGTCCAGAGAGGCCACATAAATCTTATTCTCGATCATAACCCCATCTAAAAACACGTTAAAATTGTGCAGCAGCAGAATTCCAGTCAAACCAGTGAGTTTGGCGGTTTTGAAACATCATCTTGTATTGAAAAAAAACTTTTTCATTTTGCCGACGCGCGCGCATACCAGAAACCGGAGACTTTTTTTTTTGGCCTAAGTGTGCGACGTTGCAAAATGTTAGTACACGAGAACAAAGGAAGTACCCCACTTCTATGCCTATGTAAGCGTGTGTGCATGTGTCCGAATTTCTCATCGTCCAGTATCGCAAATTTTTTTCTCATTGAGAGAAAGGCCCTCCGCACGCAATAGCGGTGTCATAGGGGAAAAATCGACAAACACACCATGCACAACGGCGGTGTCCTATCATATCGAGACTCCCACACAAAGCTCATGAGTCTCGCGCCATACAATTTGTCGTGCCTTGTTTATGATCTGAAATTTGGGTTTAATTTCCACTGTAAACAACAGAGTCGCTTAGGATCAAACGCAGCACATGTTTGTTTTACACGTAGTAGCTTCGTCTATCCCCTTTCGTGCGTTACCTTTTTTGAACCCTGTTTTCATGTCTTAAAATTATTATTTGTCACAAAATGATAACAATGAAAGCCGAATTCTATATTTCACTAGGTTCAATTTTAAATTTTGAACTTGTTGCCTCATGTTGACATTGACTTAATTAACCAAATTACTCATCACTCGTTAAATCATCACCGTAACATTTCTTCTAAAGTTAAATCATCACGGTAACATTTCTTCTAAAGTCATCGGGTCTTTTTTTATTTATGAAAAACTACCCTATACAGATGCGAGTGGCCACTACATTCATTTTACGCCATTCTACTTCATAAACAATGAACTCGTCAGCCCAGTCGTTTTGCCGAGTAGAGAACAGCCAGGAAACAAGTGGTGTTTCAGTTTCTGGTACAATATTCATGGAAACGGCACAGGTGAGGTTTGCAAACCATTTTTTCAATTTTATTCAGTTTTACAATTATCACATATGCCAAAACTAATATATTTATTGAAATGAATCTTTCCATCCCATTTTATCCCCCACGTTTTGCAACTAAAGAGTGTTTCTTTGTTACGGTTACCTCTTTATCTTAACTGTTGTAGTGACAACATGACAAGGTTTGTTCAGGTTCCCAGGCACTTGGACGTAGTGCGTTTATTCCGCCATGATGGTACAACAAGAGTGTAGCCACATTACACACACTGTGTTCATGCGCTGCGCGCAATATGAATATGTAGCTCCACATAAATATTACAACATCCTCCCCCCTTTGAAAGTACAATAATGGATTCTAACATTTACTAGACAACTTTCCGCACAGGTTAAAAGTTAATGTGGTAAGTTTCTGAATAAAATGATGAGTAACTAACAAATAATTGTGCTGCGTCTCTAGTTTCTAGTGTCTTTACATGTTTCTGGTGGGCTGGAACTTGGACTTCTAAAAACGCTTCTTAACATCTGTTTAACTGTTTAAACTCTTCAACTGTAACTCCAAGTACCAGGTCTATGATTTAACCCTATATATCTAAGGGTAACATGCTATTCAACTTTTCATCCTCCTATCGAATTCTTGAGGTTAACTACCCTCAGTGGTTTAAGTAATCAAAAGTTTAGATAAAACAACTTGAAAAACGTTTAAACAATGGACACTCTGCAAGTATGATATTGTCATGGGCTTGTTGGGATCTGATTGTTTGCTTGAAAGGGGTATATTGTGTAAGATGGCCTTATTGCTGGATGTATCGCACTGGTCTGCGAATTCCTCGGCCTGATCTTGTAATCTGTGGAGTATCTCCGGTTGCCCTAGCTGCTTTGTCGCTGTGACTTGGGAGTTTGTGTTCCGTCTTACTGAGGTCTTTGGTTTTCTCGGTGTCTGCAAATCTGACACGCTTGGGAGTGATAGAGTGTCGTGTATCTGTCATCCCTCTGAGGTGATCGAGTACGCCTCAATATGCTGCCGTTTGGGGTGGCGACTTTACACGACCTCGTCTCTCTACACACGGTTGTCACCTCGGCTGGCAGCCAAGCCCGAGAATCCTGATCAAGAATCCGGACCTTCTGCCCAACATGGAGAGGTGGGAGCTCATTGGCTGAGTGTCTCCTGTCGTAATCTGCTTTCATTCGGCGGCGGCTTGGCAAGCTTATGCAAGGTGGCCTGCCAAACAGAATCTCGGCCGGATACGGCAGTTTGGAGTCAATGGGAGTAGCTCGCAGGTTCAGAAGTGCTTTGTCAACATTCTGCTTTGACTTTTGGCATCTCTTTATGAGTGCCTTGACTGTCCGCACTGAACGTTCCACAAAACCGTTGGATTGAGGGTATCGGGGTGAGGATGTGATGTGACTTATGCCCCATGAAGCACACATGTCCTGGTGCGGCGCTCCAACGAACTGTTGGAAATTGTCCGATATTATCTCTGCCGGCGCTCCGAACATGCCAAGTGTACGCGATGTCACACCAACTACCGTTGCGCTCTTGGTATCTCGCAGCCTGTGGACGACTGGGAACTTCGAGGTATAATCAATGATCAGAAGAAAGTCATCTCCCCCAATTTCGAACAGGTCGGATGGGGATGGAGGGGTTCCTTCTTCTGCTTTGGTTGGTTTTCTTGGCAGTATTCACATGCCCTCACAGCATTGTCGACGTCACGGCTGATGTTTGGCCAGTACACGGTTTCTCGAGCCAAACGTCGTGTTTTCTCGATTCCCATGTGTCCTTGTGGAGCTGGGCCAGGATGTCTTGTCGTAGATCATCGGGGATTACTACTTGTTTCCCTTTGAAAATGACACCCCAAGATATTCCCAGTTCATCTCTGTAGGGCCAGTATGGCCTTAGATCTCTGGGTAGCTCCTTGATTTCGTCAGGCCAGCCGGCGTAAATAATTTGGGTTAGGGAACTCAGGGTTGGGTCAAGCGCGGTCTGCAGCTGCAGTTGGGTCTGCTTAGTCTGGCCGAAGTGAAGGAGATCGATGTACTTGAGCTCTGGTCCTTCAATGACGTCTGTGCCACCGCCCAATCAGTCTATGTGTATGTCTTCGTTCTTCTTCGGGTTTGGCAGTCTGGTCATGGCGTCAGACAAGATCATTGTCGGTCCTGGCTTGTAGTGCACGGTGAAGTGCCTTGCACTTTGATAAGTAGGCGTTGTAACCTTGGTGGTGCACTAGATAGGGGCTTCCTCCAGATCATTTCTAGCGGCTTGTGATCTGAGTGTACCACAAACTCCTTCCCGAAGAGGTAGTTGTGGAAACGGGCTATGCCAAACACCATTTCCAGCGTTTCCCTTTCTATGTTGGAGTAATTTTTCTGCGTCGGTAAGAAACTTTTGGATGCAGAGGCAATAGGTTTGCCATGTTGAGTGAGGCATGCTCCCAGCCCTTTCTGTGAAGCGTCAACCTCAAGTACCGTTGGCATCTCAGGGTTGTAGTACTGAAGGCATGCGTCCGCTGTGATCGACAGCTTCAGTGCCTAAAACGCTGCTTGGTGGTACTCCTGCCACACAAAAGGGAAATTTTTCTTGAGAAGATCTCGGAGCATCGCTGCCTTGTCTGCGAGGTTGGGAATATACGCAGACATATAGGTGATGAGACCAAGGCATTTTTGGAGGTCTTCCTTGTCCTGGGGTGTGGGGAGGTTGTGTATGTCCTCAACCCGCCCTGGGTCTGGCTGTACCCCAACGTCAGAGTAGATCAAGCCGAAGAAATTGATCTTCTTTGTTTTTATCCTGCATTTGCTGCTGTTGAATACAAGACCCTCACTTCCGGCAACCCAAGGTTGGCGTCGTGTCCGTTATCTGTGCGGCCGTAAACGACTATGTCGCCAGCTATACAGACACAGGTCTGGTGCACACTGTATTTTCTGGGTGGGTCAATATGGGGTACCGCGTCTTCTTTGAGGTGCAATGTTGCCCTTCGTTTGAAGCTTCCAATGGTGTCAAACTGATCTTGATACGCCTCCATCAGCTGCTCAATTGATTGTACTGACGTCAGTCTGGCAGCATGTATCGTCACGACTCCCATGTCACGGCACATGGGCAGACCTGCAATCACTGGGCCTGTGAAGTCAACGACGTAAAATCTATTCTCTGACCACGTAGGATCTTCGTATCTGCAGAGCAAATCGATGCTGCCCAGACAGGGTATCGTTGTTCCATTATATGCGGTTAGCTTGGTTGTCACCGGTTTGACTTGGGATCTCCAAGTGTCTCCATACATCTGTCGTATGGTTCTGAGTGGGAGTGTGTTACCTCCGGCTCCGGTGTCTATCTTGACTTTAAGGCGGTGCTTGCCTTCAAGGTCAAGCAAACCACGACAAGCTCTCTGTAGGCTTCGTTACCCGTGTTATCTTTCTTCTTGTGGAAGTCTGGAACAGTTACAACATGGAACACTTCCTCGTACGCATGGTCCATGTATTCTAACTGAATCCTGTTCAGTAGTGTTTGGTGTCGAAGATTCATCCTTCTATCGGCCCTTGGGTTTACATTGTTGGGGCCTTCTATCTCTGGAGGGACTGCGTCGCCTCTCCCCGGAGTGACTGGGTCTTCTTCGTGGTGACTTGGATCCTCTGCGTTGTCTTCTTTTAGCTCTCGTTTTCATTTCTGCAACACTTGGACCAGTGCCCTTTCGCTCCACAGGCCTTGCAGGTATCATGGTATGCGGGGCACCGTCTGGGTGAGTGTGATAACCCACAGTTTCGACAAGCTCGACTCTTGGACCATATGGCGTTCACTGACCCCCATTGGTCTCCATGGACTGTAAACTTTGCTTGCCGGCAACAATGGCTTCATACTTTCGCACTTCGACGAGCATTTCGTCAATGCTGTAGCCAATGGGTCTGTCTAGCAGATCCTTTTGGAAGGACTCGGAGGGTGTAGAGGCTATCACGAGTTCAACTACTCGTTCAGTGAGTTCCGCCACACTAAATTGACAATCAACAGCCTTCGCTCGGCACCTGTTGACGAATTCATCGAGGTGTTCCTCGTGCTTTTGCCGGTAACGCATCAGTTCCAAGCGGTGGATCCTGAAGTTTAGCTTCACCTTGAGTTGTTTTTCAAACAAATCCCATAGCTTGGATGGGTCGAGCTGCCCTTCTTCAGTCAGGCTAGAGACATTGATTTTCCTAAGACCCTCTTTTCCGACGGCTATCTTGATTTTGACTGCTTGCTTGGCTGGGTCTGTGATATCTTGGTCGGCAAGACACATTTCGATTCTCTGTCGGAAAATGATCTTTTGCCAGATCACTGGCATCCCACTGCATTTCAGGGAATTTTGTGGCCATGGTTAACAAGGGACGGGCTGTGCCTGTGGGAATTCTCTATAATGGTAAGTAAACAGGTGTAATAATATTGATACTATTACCTTTTAAATCAATGGGCACAAAGACACAAATAATTTATGGCCATGTGAGGCAATACTTAACACAAGTATATCATCAGATAAACCAAGATAAGTGATGTTCAGTTTGAGTCCGGCATGCAGTATTTTTTGGAAAAATCAGACCAGTCCATTAATACTGTCCAATAGTTCAGGTTGCTGTTATGTGGTTCCAGCACTCCTGCAGATCTGGCTGTTTTCCGGAAGATCCGGCTGTTATCTGGTAGGTCCTGCAGTTTTCCGGTAGGTCATGCTGTATTCCGGTAGATCCGGCTGATATCCGGTAAATCCGGCTTTTTTCCCGGTAGATCCTGCTGTTTTCTGGTAGAACCAGCTGTTTACCGGTAGATCCAGCTGTCCGCAAGCTGCAGCATTGATCGGCAGAACAATATGACTGGTTCGGTCGTGTTTCGCCTCAGGTGGGGTCAAAGGTCAAATCCCGATGAGCGTGTGCGTGGGGGTAGTTCCAGGGTATGGCTCGCCGGAACTGCTTTTATCAACCAGCTGCACAAGTCAATGGCGTTCACATAGCGCAAAGTATATGCACGGCATGTAAACTCAATGATGCTTTGCTTCAATCAAAAGGTTCGGACAAAACACTTACAACCGCCCTGTCTTCAGTCCGTGACTATCGATTACATATGCTGACTCGGTCCATCGGTACATATGCATTTACGATATGTGCTATGCGGCAACTTCCTCTGTACTTTCCCCTGGCAAACTGAATTAGAAAACTGGGTCGCTTCTGGCCAGTCTGTGGTCGTTGCGAGTACAGTGTGGGCTGGCGCGTATAGGCTTTCAGGCGTCACGTTGGCCGCTGGCGAACCGGGCTCTTTGCGTGCAGCGACGGCTCAATCCACTGTCGATGTCGGCTGCTGGGCATCGATCCGTGCTCCGTCTGTGGCGGTCTTTCGCAGGCGATTGGCGTTTAGCTAGCTCGATGCCTGGTCGCGGCTTACATGTATGCAGCATTTCAGTGTCCACTACCGCTGCCACCATGTAGTGATAGCATGAAAAGGTTTGTTCAGGTTCCCAGGCACTTGGACGTAGTGCGTTTATTCCGCCATGATGGTACAACAAGAGTGTAGCCACATTACACACACTGTGTTCATGCGCTGCGCGCAATATGAATATGTAGTTCCACATTAATATTACAACAACTGTGACTGGAAAGATAAAAGAGAAATGCAAGCACCAAATAATCACAACAATTGACAAGTTCAGTTCTATTTACACAATTATTATTTACAATCTAATTTACAAGTCCACTTCTTCTACTAGCAGCAATTACAATATTTCAATATGAATAGTAATAATTCGCCAAACTATACTTATATCAGCTTGTGTATTACTTTCAATCTAATGTCTTCAGGCGGAAACAATGAAAGTATATCACAAAATAAAGTCAGTATTTCGTCTCAGTTGAAAACTCTTAATTTGAAACAAAACAACTCAAAAAATATTAATTAAATGAATCTTTGGGTTTAGTTTCTGAACAAATTTAATTTAAGATAGAACGCTAGGTGTGGGTACTTTTAAATCACTTTCCCCACCAAGTCATAAAAAATGAACACTAATTTTGGATGTTTTCCAAAGGTTTAATTCTCAAACACCAACAATGACCGGTTTTCATTAGGTGGTCTCTTGATTCTACACTCTCAGTGGTGTACACATGCAGTGGTGACAGCCTTCCTTGTTCAACCACGGCGTCCTCTGTCGTCTCTTTGCGACACTCACTTTGCGTCATACTCGGCTGCTACTACATGTATCAAACGTCTTCGCAAGCATCCCGGCTCATCAAACATCTACCTCAATTTGGCGTACACCCTAGCTAGGCTACGGCTAGCTGGGCCAAGGGCCATCCAATATTTCAACGAAAGATTGTCCAAAACATACAGACATTCATACACGAAAATCTCCGATCTTTTACACGACAACTCGGAAAAGAATCACACTTATGTTCATGTACAATAATTTTCATTAACCTTGTCCATTATTCTATCGAAACTTTAGCAAGGTAAGCACCGTCATATTTATCCTGCAACGATAGTTTCCAACATCTAAAATCCATTTCTTGATAACTAAATAAACAGAACCCACGGTTTCCTTGCCGTTCAAAATCTTGACGCCCTTGGTAACTTCATTTAATATTTGCCATCAAGCAGTCTGTACAAATCTGCTTCTTATATCATGCAGCAAAAGTAGGTAACTGCCGGCTTAAAAAAACCCGCGAAGCTCAGAGGATCGAGCTCTGACATCCATGTCGATCAAAATCAAAATAAACACTGACATGTCACATTCCACTTCATTCATTTACAACCTAAAAGAATTCACACACAAAGATTGAGGAAAGCTTGGATAAGCGCATTTAATTAGACACAAAAGGCAGTACATTGAAGAGAATGTTACCGCTCGTGTCGGCCCTGTATTATTAAACACAATAGTGAGTTAGTTACATGTGGGCAGAGGAATCCATGGCCCTGTGTATATGTCACCAGTTTACATCGAAGGGAAATTCTTGACATTGTTTTTATGCTTATGCAAATGTAATATTCCTGAGCAAAATGTTGTTGCCACCATACTCAGAAACTACTCAGAAACTACCCGTTGAGTTTCATTGCGCTTTCGGTTCGGTTGACAAGGAGTTTTACACTAACGTCTAAGCGGTAATTTGTAATTATCGAACAATAAAAGTGTAATAAATCACTGTGTAATGGTCATGAAGTGTAGATGTCAGTCCTGTAATAGTCTTGTCTGGTGGACACAATCCCAATTTGAAACTGTTTGTAATATCTCCGCACACAAAACCCTAAGGTTCAAATTTAGTTCAAATTTTACCAAATCGCCTCTTGATATTCTTTGATTAACCACAGATAACTTGGGAAGGTTATCATAAAATCCCGTTTTTCTACACGAATACTTGAAACACGCATTGTTCAAGGTCAAAATTGTGGTTTTTGTCTAAACCTATGAAGAATTATGACTTATTAGACGAAAATGTATGGTCACGTGATCAAATATAATGCATGCGAAGAATCCAAT